TTTTTTTTCAATACAGCGTTGTACGGTAGGACTCATGAACTTTGAGATATTTTTGTTTCTTGCACGTTGAATTTTATCACTAAATTCCTAAGCTTTTTTGTTTTTTAGCCCATCGTCAGGGTGAGTTAGTGCTGCCTTTGTAGTTACAAATGGTTAGACTTTCAAGCGGCTCGGATGACCACTTTAAATGTTGGTCCCGTCTCTCCACACTTCATCATTACTAACCAATATCGGAGGGACGTAAAAGAACCACTGAGGACGTAAAGAAACCCTGGCAGTGACCACTCTGTGCCTACACCTCATACTAACCCTTTCTCATGATTGCAAATTGCATAAAAAGAAATCTGACATTTACAGCGGAATGTAAAGAGCGTTTGATTATTTATATAGAAAGTAAGCCAAATAAAAGGCATAAATCATTATCATTATCTAAGGCGAAATGCTAGACTAAACGTTATGACATTTTTAGTATAATGCGGGTAGTATAATGTCAAAATGAGAAGAGCAAATGCTGATGTTTATTAGTAGGCTAACAGTAGAGGCCAGTTTCATGTTTATGGTATTTATATAGCTTCCTTTTTCATATGGATATGTTCAAAGGCGCTCTACGATGAGCTGTGAACGAGAGGTAGTTAGTATGAGGTGTAGGCACTGAGGGTGGTCACTGCCAGGGTTTCTTGAAGTTCCCAGTAGTTCTTTTACGTCTCTCCAATATATTTAAGTATATGACTCAGTACTTTCCTTAGAAAGACAATTTATGAACTTTCAAGATATAGTTTTATTACATGAACTTTTCGAAGTCTCTTTTCCGAACCAGTTTTAGTGTCATATTCGATAGTTAAGCTTGTAAATGAAGCGAAGCAGCAATCACGGTAATGGAGGGGTATCACATGCAGAAGCGTTATGCTAGTGTTAGGTGTGTGTGTGAAGCTATCCCTCTAACGAGTAAGATGTCTACTTAGTAAATGATTGTTATTGTTTATGTGTTCTTTTGTGGCTATGAAGTCCGATTCTAGAAAAACATCGTCTTTGACAGGTAGCACATACGAACTCTGTAGCTGTTGGTTCGACTGTTGGAGAAGTTTGTTGCCTTGATTTTCTTTGCGACCGAAGTCTTTCTCTGCGCTCTTTTCTTTGTTGTTCACTTTGCTTCGCTCCTACGTAAATAGCATGTCTCCAGCCAGGTCTGTTGCCAGCCTGCTCCTCCCAATCATCTGTGTTGATAGCACATTGTTTGAGATTGTGCTTCAAATTGTCTTTGTGTTAGATGTAATTTACATGCGAATAACATTCACCATGGAGACCTCACACTTTTCAGTAATTTCAAAGGATCTGCCGCTGACAAGCAGCTCAGCTACATAATATTCGTGACAAACGACCACTTAACCTACACAATCATCCAATTGCATTAAACATGTCTGTAATCAGATTTATAATAATAATAATAATAATAATAATAATAATAATAATAATAATAGGTTGATATCTCAAATACTGTCTGGTATATAAAATATGATCTTTCGGATTGCCAGATGTCTATGAATGCACTAAAGGACGGCATAACTGCAGTGTAACTGCCACTTGACACCAACATCGATTGGCTCGTTCTACTGCATGTGCAAAAGAGGTACGTTGGTAACGGGACAAGTTGTGAAAAGGCCTTTTTAAGTAAGTTTTATGAGGTGTTATCGCTCGCTTCTCTTTCCTTATTGCCTTGACTTGTCTTGACTTGCCTTGCGTTGCCTTATTATTTTCATCATCATCATCATCACTACCATCAACCTTACCACGTTTGTGACACTCGTGACCATTGTAACACTCACGTTATTAAATCCCACTTTAGTTTCGGTTTCAGATATTCTTAGGGATTATGGAAACGCCAGTTATCATGTCGCTATGAAGTGTTTCATAGATCAAGCCTGAAGACATCGTTAACATTCCATGGATAAGATGCTGGATAGCAGGAAAGATGGCTATGGTTTCACAACCCCCTTTCCATCCTCAATGCTACGACAAAGGACCATCGGTTACTATAGTTAGGAATAACCAGTACATATGGGGTGGATGCACTGATGTACCATGGTCATCAAGTACGTTTGCTAATTACCGGTAATGCATATACATATATTTAATTTATTCAGTATATTTAATG